GAATAGGACATTTGAAACCCTAATTGTGAACTTATTTTTAATAATTACTGAGAGAATGAAAATATTTAAAATAATGCAAAATGTCTCAAGTCTTCCTAAATCAAGATTTTTGGTTAAAATGCTTTTAGGAATATTAAAAGCAGAATGAATTTTTTTTTTTAAGTAAAGCATAAAATGGTTCTAAATGTAAAATAAAGTCATGTAAAATAAAGTTCTCTTTTGGTCTTGTTCAGTGATTAAATCTAATAGACTTGAAAACAAATTTAGGAAGAGAAGACCAAGAATGAACTTTACTGAGGGTTTCCAAAGTTCTGCTGCTTTTACTCTTTTCTTACATCATCTAAATATCAAAGACTCCATAATGACTTACGCGGGGCAGGCTTGAGAGGGCTTTTAAAGAGTGTGATTTCACTATTTAGTATTTGTTCTAAAGATTTCTCTCCCAAAGATACTATCTTTGTGAGTTTAAAGGTAGCAATTTCTAGGTCTAAATGCAAACGGAGATACATTCCCCTGCGGCAGTTCTCATGTGACTGAGGCATAGCGTTCTCTTGTGGGACTTGTTAGTGCACATCTCAGTCACGCTCAGGTTCAGTGTGTCTCAAATGGAGGACAGAAGTCTTTATTCTTAAACAGGATTCCAGGGAATTCTGAAACACTACCCAAAGAGCATTACTTTTTATTAAAAATATAAATTCCCCTCTTGGTAAGCTCCCAGGAGCCACATCTTTCCTACTTACAACCATGGAAAAGTACTTCCGTTCATCGCCTTGTCCTGAGGAAGGTTCTTCCTCCTGATAAATGGCTGGTTAGAAGTGCCTCCGATAAACTGCCTGGACAGTGAGAGGGAGTGTTTTCCTTTTTGGAAATGTTTTCGATATTTACATTGACCTAAGTAAGTCAGCATGAACATACAGATAACTCGTCTACACCTCATTTGATTAATGTAGAAATCAAAGTGTGACTTTATTCATGTCAAGATAGGTTAAATATAAGGAAAGTATATTACCTCTTAAAAAATATGTATTACTGGACTATTATGACTGTAGCATGAAGTTTCTCTTAATTACTAACCTTTGTTAGTACTTATGTGCCAGGCACTTGGTCAAGTGCTTTACATTTACTATATTTCATTTTATTCTACAAGATAAAGCCTATTACCAGCCTCTTGGATAGGAAACTAGACACAGGTTAAACAATGTGCTCCAGGCTACACAGCTAGTAAGTGTGAAGTGAGGCACCTCTCTAGGCATTCTGGGGCTCACATTCCTCGGGATCGGTGACACAATTTTGTGGAAGGTACGATTATAAGCCAGTGAGTTGGTCACTGAAGTTTCTTATCACCCCATTCTAATATCGGGTGGGGGTGAGTGTTCCTCCACACCATCAAGCGATGCTGTGATACCAGCTGGGTGTCCTACCATTCACCTCAGTTCTGACACTGTACCTGAAGACAGTATCAGCTTCCACAGGTAAAGGGCTCAGTCCCCTAAGACCAGACTCCAGACGCCAGCTGCAAGCTCAGCTTGTTACCTGTACATCTGACAGGCTATATACGTCAATGTTTTGTACCAGTGGTTCCTGTGACTCCTTCCTTGGGTTTGGTTAATTTGCTAGAGCAGTTCACAGACCTCAGAGAAACATTTTACTTATTAGATCACCAGTTTATTACAAAGATGTAACTTAAAAGCCAGATGAGAGATAAGCATAGGGAAAGGAGGAGGAGCTTCCATGTTCTCCAATATGCCACTGTCCCCAAATCTCAACTGTTCACCAACCTGGAAGCTCTCAGAACCCTGACCGTGGGGGGTTTTACCGAGCTTCATTACATAGGCATGGCTAAAGTCCTTGGCCATTGGTGACTGGTTCAACCTCCAGCCCCTCTCCGCTCCCTGGCTGTAGGGTGGGTTAGCCCTCAAGTTCCAACCCTATTGTCACCAGGCATCCTTGGCAACCAGCCCCTATCCTTGGGTGCAGTCCAAAAGCTACCTCATTAACAACAAAAGACACCTTTATCATTTTTATCAGGTAGGAAATCCCAAGGGTTTTAAAAGCTCTGTGCCATAAACAGGGAAAAGACCAAGTATGTATGTATTATAAACCGCAGTATCACAGTATACCCCTGGTCTTTGAACACAAATACCTACAGCAAAACAATCATAAAGGTCAAAGAATAACGGCAAATTACTAGAATCCTATTCAGTCCACAACTATGCAGTCCATCATTGAGAGTGGCCACTCGGGTGTGCGGGCTTCCACTTGATTGTGTCAGGTTTCAAAAGCAGGAGAGGAATCAGATGTGTATGGCTTCACCCCACATCTGGTGTAATTGAACAAAGGAACTACCATTTTTAAAAAATGTTTAAAAGATTTTTTTATTTTTAGAGAGAAGGGAAGAGAGGGAGAGAAACATCAATGTGGGAGAACACTGATCAGTTGCCTCCCCCACTCGGGACTGAATCCGCAACCCAGGCACATGCCCTGACTGGAAATTGAACTGGCCACTTTTCACTTTCAGGATGATGCCACCTTAGTCAGGGCTCTTCCCCACCCCCCCCAAATCCTCACCTGAGGATATGTTTATTGACTTCAGGCGAGGAGAGACCTTGATGAGAGAGAAACATCAATTGGTTGCCTCCCTTATGTACCCTGACTGGGAATCGAACCCATAACCTTTCAGTGTATGGGATGATGCTCCAACCAACTGAGCCACCTGGCCAGGGTGGAACTATCATCTCTTGCTCTGAGCCTCTTTCAGTATGGTAATGCAATATGGGATATCCCTAATTACATAACCATTTCTTCATTCCTTTACTCATAACTACTATATTTCCTTCTCTCCATTTATGCCCCAACTTTTCCACCTTTGGAAAGGACCTTAGGTTCTGCCACTCTGCTTGCCTACATTGCAGACAGCAATACTAGTCCAGCAAGTCCTTCCCACTTCAGATAAGGTAAGGTTACAAAGGTGTAGAACTAGTGGGCTATTTTTACCACCAGGCAATACAGCTGAATTCACTGTTAGCCCCAGTTTGGCAGATGGGGTGAAGGGACATCCTGCCCCATCAGACCCTTGGGAACTCCAAGTTTAAAAGCAGAGTTTCTTGCTGAGGAATCATTCCTGCTTCTAGCCCTTGTAGTTGCAGCAGCCCTGGTCCTGTGACCACCGCATCAAGTAAAAGAAAAAAAAGTTGAAGTGATGTGAGGAAGAAAGAGTATCAGCATCTTTCTAATTTCCTCTTCTCCAGATCCGACAGAAAAACCTACCCAGCAAGGAGACTCCTTTAGCCCCACTCATACTCATGTTGAGTGTGAGTATGACACATTAACCACCACTGTTTTAATCACTCATTCCAATTCCCTCCCAAACTAACCGAGGAGAGATCTCTCTGCCCACTGTTGAACATTATGGGCTATAAATTATGTTTGCTCCTCGGTCTGAAGAACTAACAATAAACTCTGAAGTTCAAGCAACTTGATTTGATCTGAACCTTTCTGTTCCACGACCTCTACGATGGCCTGATTAGTAGTGTACTTGGAAGCTACCAGAGTAATTTCCCACCCCAATAAGTGCTTTACAAGAAATATCAAATCCATACAACAATCTTATTGGGAAGGAATTATTATTATTATTATCCTACAAATGAGAAAACAGTGTCAAGAGGCTAAGTAACATGTCCAAGGTAGCACAGCTAATAAACAGGGGAGCTCAAATTCATGCCCATGGTATGGTTCTAAAATTCATATTCTTTTTCACTAAGCTCATTTATTTTCATATCTTCAGTAGCAAATATTATCTGACAGACATACTATTTGATGACTTTAATTAAATAACAGAATTTTTGCTCTTAATTTGCCATGTGGCCTATGATAAACGATCTAACTTCTTTAAAACTCAGTTTTCTCATACAATTTATTGTATTACTTAAAGGTTATATATGTAAAAATGTTATTCTACACTTGACACCTGGTAGTTACCCCAGAAAGGATAAATGAGTCTCACCCCCTACTCTAGGGCAAGTTTTAGAAAGAACTTTCCGTTGTTTTCAAAGCTGAATTTTTTTCCTATTTACCCCACTTCACACAGCTATCCACAAAACAGGTGCGTGTTGTTCAAGGCTTAAAGGTTCAGCTTCAAGCTACCTAAACAAATCTCTTTCACCTCATTTTAGATCAAACTATTTTTTTCCTTTTGTTGTACTTTTCTTTAGATAGTTCCCCTGAGAGTCGGGTCTTGGTAATTCAACCAAATTATTGTGACCATCAGTAGCCACTGCCTGTACTGTTACAGGAGAGAATTTCCTGCCTCCACGGCTTTAACTTTTGGCCTTGTAAAGAGCACTTGGCAAGAAGACTGTGCAGTCGACTACTTTCTAGGTGGGTAGTCTTATCTATCCTAAGTCTGCGTTTCTTCACCTGCAACGTGAGGGCCACTGCTATCGCTACTTCAGAGATGTGCTCACAACTAAATGACTTAATTTATATAAGGTGCTTAGGATGGCGCCTGACACTTTGTAAGAACTCAATCTACATGACGAAAAGCTCAGTTTGTTTAAACAATTTCAGAGCTTTCAAAGTATTTTCCTAAATTGAGTCATTTTCCCCTCTGACCCTTACGCCCCACCTACTCCGCGCACAGGCACACTTGTCCCTGCACCCCTTCTTGGCGGAGCGTAAATACAAAACAAGGCAGCGTTCCCTCCTCCTTCGTTTGCTGGCGGTGCCGCAGGTTTTTTCTCCCACCAAGAGTGTGGCTTCCCCCCACCACTTCGCACAAGGATGGCGCTTTCTCCTTATCATCTCATCCGGAATGTGGTCCTACCGCCACCTGGCCATCTCTCGGGACAGACCGAGTTAGCGCGACATACCGGGTTCCTGGGGCACCGCGAGAGCTGCGGGGGAATCGCGACCTGGAGAGGTGACCTAGCGTGACGGACACCTCCGGTCCGTACCAGGGCAGTGGAGCACGAAGTTGCCAAGGAAGGTGGGGCCGCACGTACCTCGGGCCGCAGGCGGGGAATCGAGGCCCGGCAGGCTCCGGCGAGCTCCCAGGCTAGGCAGGCGGGAGGCGGGGCGGGCGCAGAGGATGGGGCGGGGCCAGCCGGGGAGGCGGGCCCTTGAGGTGGTGTAGCCCGGGCAAGCCTGGTGAGTCCGTACTGGGTAGGAAGGAGGCGGGGCCGGGGCACTGGAGTGGGGCGGGGCTAGCCGGAGTGGGCGAGTCCATGAGACAGGGAAGGCAGGACCGGGCCTACGCAGCGAGAATCCCTCACTGGGCAGACGAGAAAGCAGGGGCGGTGCAGCGGGGCGAGGCGGGGCCGGCCGGCGTGGGAGGGGCCTCTGCTGCTGGGGGTGGGGGCGTATTCCGCAGCCCTACGGGCCACCTGGGTTCAGTCCTACCCGGAGGTGGCCTGCGGCGCCGGGTTCCCTCAGCTCCCGTCGCTCTGGCGGAGTCTGCGCGATGGGCGACCCCGAGAGGCCGGAAGAGGCCGGGCCGGAGCTGGAGGAGGTAAACGTTACTGCCGCTTTTCCCCTAGTCCCACGGTCAGCCTAGCTTCTCGATTGCAGGTTGCGGCGGGGACTTGCAAGGTGCAGGACCGCTATGGGGAAATTTCCCCATTGCCGTTGGAAACCCCGTGCGGTCCCGGCCTGGATCCCTGGCCAGAGCCTAGGTTCAAACGCCCAAGAGGCCGTCCCCGGGGACGGGTGAGAAGGGTGCCGGGTTTCTGCTCCACTGCTCTGCACCGGGGCCGAAGGCAGCGCTCTGAGGCTTCAGGCCGGGGCGAGGCGCACTCCCTCCTTGACTCTCCTCCCATCCTTCCCTTTTCTGGAGCCCTGGCCCCGGAAACTGAGGCAAGGAACGACGGCTGGTGGACTTAGTGGAGAAATGCATGTCATGTCTGGGGTGGTTCGAAGGAACTGGATGACGCCGGTGGAGTGGAGATGATCCTTGGAAGAGCGACGGGAAATCTTCTTAACAATCCAGACAACCCGTTCAGGAGGCCAGTTTTGCTCATACCAGGTTACGTAACTAGTTGTGACTCTTTGGGGTGTCACTTTCTGCTTTTGTACAGTGGAAGTGGTACCACACTCACAGAGGATTAAGTAAAATATGTAAAGTACTACGGAACTTCTGGATGCTTCATAAACCTAAGTTAACATATCCATCCTCTCTGCTTCTCTATTAATAAAAGTACCTAACAGTAAAGAAACCGGGATTTAGTAGACTGGAGTGTTGTAAGGTAGTTCAAATTGTTGCTCCATAATTTTCATACTTTGTTATTTTCCAAATACTAAACTATTTGTGTGTCCTTTTAATCTGTTTCTATGTGGTTTCTTTGATTGAATAGTTTCAGCTCACAGAGACAGGCTTAACCCTACATTTCTTTAGAAAGTTGTAGATTCCTGGTTTGTGATTTTATTTTATTTTGATTTTGTAAACATTTAGTAACTAACTAACAAATTGTTAGCATCCCTCCAACTTTTTCTTCCCATATGGAAACAAATAACTTTAGTACTGAAGACAACTTAGATTTTCCCTTTTGTGGTAGTGGCCCCAGCAGTCATAAAGACGCAAGGCCTGGAAGTTAACTTTTATTCCTACCTCAGTGACACACACCCACAAAGACAGAGGCAGAACTCTATTTTGGTCTAGAATTAATTTTAGTGGGCATCTGTTCTGATACCAAGGATGCCTTAAGTACATTGTTTTTCTAGATGTGATGGTGCATCATGGGCCGTCTGCATCAGAATTACCTGGAGTACTTTGTAAAGAATGTAAATTATTGGGCCTACACGCAGTCGTCAATTTTGTTTTTTTAAATATATTTTATTGATTATGCTTTTACAGTTGTCCCATATTCCCCCCTTCACTCCCCTCCACAGCCTCTCCCACCCACATTCCCCCCTTTAGTTCATGTCTGTGTGTCATACTTATAAGTTCTTTAGCTTCTACATTTCCCATACTGTTCTTACCCTCCCCCTATTTTCTACTTACCATCTATGCTACTTATTCTCTGTACCTTTTCCTCCTCTTTCCTCCTCCCACTCCCCTGTTGCTAACCCTCCATGTGATCTCCATTTCTGTGGTTCTGTTCCTGTTCTAGTTGTTTGCATAATTTGCTTTTGTTTTGGGTGTGGTTGTTAATAACTGTGAGTTTGCTGTCATTTTACTGTTCATATTTTTTATCTTCTTTTTCTAAGATAAGTCCCTTTAATATTTCATATAATAAGGGCTTGGTGATGATGAACTCCTTTAACTTGACATTATCTGAGAAGCACTTTATCTGCCCTTCCATTCTAAATGAAAGCTTTGCTGGATAGAGCAATCTGGGATGTAGGTCCCTGTCTTTCATGACTTGGAATGTTTCTTTCCAGCCCCTTCATGCCCATAAGGTCTCTTTTGAGAAATCAGCTGATAGTCTGATGGGAACTCCTTTGTTAGGTAACTGTCTCCTTATTTCTTGCTGCTTCTAGGATTCTCTCCTTCATTTTTACCTTAGCTAATGTAGTTATGATGTGCCTTGGTGTATTTTTTCTTGGGTCCAACATCTTTGGGACTCTCTGAGCTTCCTGGACTTCCTGGAAGTCTATTTCTTTTGCCAGATTGGGGAAGTTCTCCTTTATTATTTGTTCAAAAAACTTTTTTACTTGTTGCTCTTCCTCTTTTCCTTCTGATACCCCTATAATTTGGATGTTGGAACATCCGAAGATGTCCTGGAGGTTCCTAAGCCTCTCATTTTTTTGAATTCTTATTTCTTCATTCTTTTCTGATTGTATGTTTCTTTCTTCCTTCTGGTCCACTCCATTGATTTGAGTCCCAGTTTTCTTTCCATCACTATTGGTTCCCTATGCATTTTCCTTCATTTCAGTTAGCGTAGCTTCATTTTTTCATCTAATTTAAGACCAAATTCAACCAATTCTGTGAGCATCCTGATCATCAGTGCTTTGAACTGTGCATCTGATAGGTTGGCTATCTCTTCGTGGCTTAGTTGTATTTTTTCTGGAGCTTTGATCTGTTCTTTCGTTTGTGCCACTTTTTTTTTTTTTGTCTTGACACGCCTGTTATGTAGAGAGGGGTGGAGCCTTAGGTGTTCACCAGGGCGGGGCAACCCAGTTGCTGGGTTGTGACACTGTATGTGGGGGTGGGGTCCGAGAGGGAACAATGGCACCTGCTTGGCTCTCTGCTGGATTTCAGTCACTTCTGCACTTCCCCCAAGCAAACTGGGCCCTTCTGGTGCTGATTCTTGTGTGGGTGGGCTTGTGTACATTCTAGGACCCTGTGGGTCTCTCCAACAAACTCTCCTGTGAGGCCTGGAGTCTCTCTCAGAACCTCAACCCCCACAGGTGTTCTCAATTGGTGTTTTGAGGCTTTATTCCCTGTGCTGGAGCCTGGGCTGCATGGTCTGTTTCGCTCCCCAGTTTCATCTGGTTTATCTGTGCACCAGTGTGGGACCGCTTGGTCTGCCAGCCACCTTGCACGCCAAGCCCCTCCACAATCCACCATCTTACTGGGTCTGCCTGCTGCTGCCTTGTGTACCCGGAGTCATCCAGCTACCACATTTGCTGTGACCCCTCCCCTCTCTGTCCAGCCGCCCAACTCCGCCCCTCCTACTGGTCTGGATGAATGTGTTTACTTTAACTCCATGGTTGTCAGACTTCCATACAATTCAGTTTTCTATCAGTTCTAGTTGTTACTTTGTTTCTAAATTTTTGTTGTCCTTATTTTGGTTGTGCAAGGAGGCACAGTGTGTCTACCTACACCTCCATCTTGGCCAGAAATCCATCCTCCCAGTTCTCAATTTTGATAATGAATCAAAATCTCTTGAGATAGGTCTGGGACTGCATTTTTAACAAGCACTTCAGGTCATCCTGGCACACATGTTTTCAGAACACTGCCTTAAAGGGTTTATACATGGGCTTTGATAGAGGTTTATAAATCTCCTGAAGTTTGAAGATTTTTCATGTGTAGACGTGAACCTTCTAAGAAAGGGGTCTATAGCTTTCATTCATTTCTCAAAGCTAACTATCTAATTGATAGTCTCTGTTTTTAAAGTAAAAAAGTTCAGGCTAGAACAGATTAAGTGACCTGCCCAAGACCACACAGCTCAGTAATGGAACAAGGTTTAAAACCAAGTTCTTGCTCCTGGGCTAATATTCCATTTGTTTTGTCACATTTGATGGGAATAGAGGAATGAAAATGTAAACGATACCTACAATTAGTATATGATCATGTCAGTATCTAAATATTCTACTTCCCCTGAGCAGTAGGAGAAAGGTGAAGGCGAATGAAAGTGGTGGAATTTGGGTGGATGGATGGAAGGGAGGGGCCTACGTAGGTGAGTGTGAGCTAGAGAATCTTGCCTTAGATGGGTGCGCTAGCACGTCCAGGTGCCTCTGGGGACCAGGTGACCAGAAACTGAAGCAGGTAGAAACTAGCGACACTATTCTGGAAGAGACAGCGGAATGTTGCCAAGAAGTGCCTCTGAAACTTTATTTTAGATCCTCATCACTTCACAGCTGTGCAGCTGCCACTTGGTTGTCTTTCTGCCTGCAGCCTTACCTGCTTTCCTATCCCTGTTTACCACTGCCCAAGCAATCCATCATTAAACTGGTGCCTCTGTGTCACTCACTCCATCCAAATAAAAACTGCAGAAAGGGTCTCAATTCCCACCAAAAAATGCCCAACTCCTCAGACTGGCAAAGTCCTGTGCAAGCACTTTTTCATGCTAACTGCCGTATCTTAATTCAGGTTGTCCTTCCCACCTCTAACGAGACACCATAGTTACTACCAAAATCTAGGGGTTTTTTTTTTTCTTTTCTAATTCATGGATATCTGATTAATCTTCCTTGTGTCATCGCTGTTCATGTCAGTTGCTAATCAGGAACGTTCCACGACTCTGCACTGAAATGATTCTCAGACTGTGCCGCACAGGGAATGCCCGCACCTGGAGGTGGGGAGCGAGTGTGGAAAATTAGAGCAGGAGCCTCCCAGGCCCCCAGATGTTTGAAAATCTTTGGCTCATACAATTCCTGACCTCTTAGTTTCATATCCAGGGGATGGATCCTGTTCCAAATTCCTCTCTGTCTCATCTGTTGGCCCTTTACTTTAGCCAAATCAGATCACTTCTGCCTTTGTTTTACACACACTCCAGTCAGTTTTCATCTCAGCTGGCCGCCGTTCTTCCACCTGCCCTTCCTCTAGGCTTGGTCCTCAGTCCTGCTGCTGCTGCTGCTGCTGCTGCTGCATAAGACATCCCTGGGTAACCGCAGCCCTCCCTGTGGTGACTACTGATGGCATCTTTAGGGAGGGAGTGGAGACAGCGCCTCTGCCTACCATAGTACTGTAATTTCAGCTCTCGACTGGACATCTGGAAATTGAATGCATTGTCTTTTTTATCAACCAGATCAACTGTTTAAAGACTTGTATTTGCAACTTTTTATTCTTGTTGTGACATGTCTCGGTGGGGGGAGTTGATTCCAATTAAACTTTTGCACTCAGAGAAAGCTTGATTTGAGTGGTCATTAGATTATCTCACTGATGGATTGTGGCTTTATGTTAATTAAAAAATTCAAACAGCAGCCAGTAATCAGAGCCCAGGATAAAAAGAAATTAGCAGCGCATTCACTTGCTTAGCTAATGCTTATTGATGTTGTGCCTGACACAGTACTCTGGGAATATCACAATAAATAAAAACTAGTTTCTACACTCTGGGGCTTAAGTGCTGTAGCTGGGGAGGCTCATGCCTTCAATATAAGCAGTTACCAAATGAGACAGCATGTGTGAAATGTGTAAGCCCCACCTGTGTTTGTGTGGCCTCAGGCTTTGATTGTGGGCCTTTCTCTCATCTGGCCTTGCCTCTTAGCTTCATCCACATTAGCATGAGGATTAGTGGAGGCAATGGTAAGGATGCAGGAACACAATGAAACAAATCCCAATAACCTTGATTTACATGTTTTGGTCTATTTGTATATACTTTGTATATCCTCATTCTCATGCATTTGTAACTCTTCTGATGCTCTTGCTGACTATTAAAAGAAAAGGCACTGTCCCCTGTGGGAGTACCCTGGATGTTTCCAAGTAGTATGTATGTAGGTATGTTTCTCACTTCACTCCTCAAAGCTGTGAGGCAGCCCACAGTGAGAGCAAAGGCAGTAATGTTAACATGTAACTAGCAATAACAAACTGGTAGATGGTCCGCTTCAGAGAAACAAAGGCTCCATTGGTACAGAGTTTTCAGATACGTATTATTATATTTCAGTTAAGATTAGAAAAGAACACATTAAACTAAAAAGAATAGAAGGCTTTAACAGTAGCTTTTTGTGCCAGCATTCTGTCTCTGGGAGAGAAACAAAGGGGACTTCTTGTTCATAAACTTAGAAATTTTCCCACTGTGACATTTATGGGTTGAATTTTATGCTTATCCTCAAAACAGCATTAATGACAATAGTTTGTTCAGTGTTTATTATGTGCCAGGTTCTGTTTAAAGCACTTTTAGTTATCAAAATTAATTTGATGACCACTTGTGAGGCAGATACTATTTTATTGATTTGGAGACCAAGGCTCAGAGAAGTTACACAACTAACCAAACACTGTTAACCAGCTGGCAGATGCGAGTGAGGCTGCAAGCAGACTGGCTCCCAGACCTCTGCTGTTTCCCTCATCACCCCCAGGTGTGTGTTTAGTTATGAATAAAGAGGAAATACCTACATAAAGTGGGTGTTTGTGCTTTAATTTTCACAGAGGTTGCCTTCAGATCCCGGCGAAAATGCAGCGGAGTCCAGTGAAGAACCGCTCCTGAGGAAGAGTTCGCGCCGGTTCGTCATCTTCCCGATCCAGTACCCTGACATCTGGAAGATGTATAAACAGGCCCAGGCGTCCTTCTGGACGGCAGAAGAGGTCAGTGGCCTCGCCTCCATCAGCAGTCATGCTCTGGAGCGCGGTGCTCACATTTCCCCTTACAGGGCATTAACAGAACTTTAACTTACATTGTGAGATACACTGTATAGGATAACTTTGTGTGAGATAATTTTGTAATAACTGAGATGAAATACAGTGTTTGCCAATGTTTGGTGTTTAGATTGGTGTCCGTACAGGTTTCCTACCACAAAAATGGCATCTCAGTCTGTCAGATTTTTACTTCCAGTATAATTTTGGAGATTTTCTATTTTTAAACAGACATTTTTTTTTTTGTTTTTAAACAGACTTTTGGTTTGCTGTGACTAAATGAAACTAATCTTTACTTATTGTCAGCAGAATAAGTAAAATTGCAGCTGTAGCCATAAAATGAAAGTGAAAGCCTTAGGGACCCTGCCTTCAGTTGAGATTGTGCAGAAGGAGCTGTCGCGTGAAGCATTTGACCGCGGACCGTGCTCCCACTTCTGAGCTCCTCTCCTGCCAGGCTGGCCCCGCCCTCAGCCACATCACACCGGGCACAGCTGCCCCAGTAGACAGGACATCTGGAGAATGCTTTCTGTTAGTGTGTCATTTTCCACCTAGGAAATCACTTGAACTCAACAAATTACAAAATACTTGCTGGTTTGGTAAGGACATTTGTCATGTCAGTTGTTGCTTTGTAGTCTCACTGAACAGATAGCCATTGTTGTCATTTTTTAACATGATGGATGGTACCCACATAGCACTCTCACTCTCTGTGTATGTGTGTACCTATCTATCCGTCTATCTGTCTATATGTCTGTCTCGGTAGATATATTTGGGCCTATATGTCTATGAATTTTTTTCCTTAAGATTGATTCTATACATGTAAATGCCTGCTGTTAAGAATACAGGCTCTGGAGGAGCTGCCTGGGCGCAAATCCTGGGCCTGCCACTTACTAACCGTGGAACTGCAGAAGTTGCTTAACCTTTCCATGTAATCTCATTGGTATATTGAGCTAATAGTACCTGGTTCGTTGGGTTGTTATGAGGGTTGACGAGATAAATCTTGTCAAAGAGATTAAGGCCATATTTAGAATGTTAATTGGCGCTTAGAAGCATCAAATAAATGTAAGGTATTATTTTACCCAGAGTGGGGGAAATTTGCACTAGAAATCAGAAGCACATTTCTGAAGCTTCTATTACAAATTTTACCCACTTACCCAACTTTGTTATATTGTTATGTTGTTAACATCTTTGTTGTATTTGACATGTAGAGCAAAACAAAACCCCAGCATTTTCAAATTGGGTCATAGTGTTTGGCACACCTGACTGCCACTAACTGTCTGTGGTTTTTTTAGATTTTATTTATTTATTTTTAGAGGGTAAGGGAGGGAGAAAGAGAGGGAGAGAAACATCAATATGCAAGAGAAACATCTATCAGTTGCCTCTTTCACACCCCCAACTGGGAACCTGGCCTATAACCCAGGCATGTGCCCTGATTGGGAATCGAAGTGGAGACCTTTCAGTTTGCAGGCTGGCGCTCAACCCACGGAGCCACACCAGGCAGGGCACCTGTGGTTTTTAGAAAGGTTTTTGTTAGATGTAGTTAAGAGAACAGAGGGAGTGTACAGGTGACTTTTTCATTTATCATGTTAAAAAGGCACTTGTGACGCTTGGGTTTCTTGAAATTCATTTGAAAATTATATGCATCTCCTAGTAAATGTAATATATGTTATATTATGACTAAGAAACACTAATTTGAAAAATTATACAGGGTGGGGCAAAAGTAGGTTTACAGCTGTGAGTACATGGAACACAGCGTTTATTGTATTATTTATGTATTAATTATTGTATTATTTTCCATGTGAACAATTGTAAACCACCCTGTAATACACAGGTTGATATGTATTTTGTAGGCAGTTTATAGGAAGATTCAAATACATATTTTGAAGGGAAGCCAAACACATTTAGTTCCACATATTTTTCATTTAAACAAACTTGTCAGTTATAATTTATCAACTTTAGACATTGTTTTATCAGTGGTTCAGTTTTATTCCTAAATATGGCTGGTCATCAGGAACTTTGATTCAAAAGACAAAGTTCTGAGGTTTGTTTCTGTATTTTTATTTTTTAAAGATATTATTTATTTATTTTTCGAGAGAGGGAGGCAGAAAAAGAAGAAACATCAGTGTGTGGTTGCCTCTTGCATGACCCCTACTGGGGACCTGGCCCGCAATCCAGGCGCGCACCCCGACTGGGAATCGAACTGGTGGCCCTTTGGTTTGCAGGCTGGCGCCCCATCCACTGAGCCACACCAGCCAGGGCTGTTTTTTGTTTTTTTTTTAAAGCTACCTAGGTAATTCTGATAACTAGTAGCTTGGAATCAATATTTACGAAGTCAATTGGAGAATTTACTCAAATAGGATAACGCTGGACAGAAAGGTATATGTTGAGAATGGAAAATAACCAATGTAGTATAAATAAAATTTATAGGACCTTGTGAAAGCTGAGTGTTTGAAGAGATTAGTTTAATATGTAAGAGTGAACATATTGTGATGCTAACATTTAGTATCAGGAATATAATACCTAAAAACCAGGAAGATGCCCTTCAGTTGAACCTTAGTTGAGCTCTAAATAATATAGGACCTGATTTTTAGCTTGCATATTTTAAAAGATATATACAGATATTCCCCCCTTCCCGCCCTATCGTATCCCCAACACTCAGCATGGTGTTTAGCATGCAGTAGTGTTGCATAGGACTGGGCATTTCTTACTAAATGCTATTCATACTAAATGTAAAAGGTAGCACAGTATTTTGCAAATGCAGCTGTAAAGAGGATGAGCTTGACAGGTACCTACATGACAAGTGTACCCAACATGATGAGTGTAGCCAACTGCAGAGGAGATATCAATGCGTAATGAACCAAACAGTGTGTATAAACAATGACTGAGCCTCCCTTTTAAGAGACAGAGCTCGGGATATGAATCCCCTGTCTTCTTTACATACTGCAAGGAAGTAAAAATACCCAGCAACAGCCACTTCTCATTCTTGGCCACAACACCCCAAGTGACGAACCCCTTAAGTTTGGGAAGAGCTGCTCAGTAAACACTGAAAGGCTAAAGTAGTGAGGGAAAGGGTTTTAGAAAAGAACACAAATGATTAAAAGAATGAACCAGTCCTTTTTAGAGTGGTCAGAGAGATTTGGTTTTGTTTAGGATTTATTTATCCTATCTTGTAGGATAAATAAAAGAAGGACAAAGGAGAATTGCACATTTCAGTGTTTATGAGGTTACTGTGAAACATACTTAAGAGATCTTCCAGAAATGAAGTGGCATTTACAAGGTACATTTAAAGACTATTTTTGAATTGTAGATTCCACCAAATTCTAGACCTTATCTCTCTGTTAATTCCAAGGACTGGTTCTACCAACCATTTTCAAAAACAATTCTATTCTCAGAGGACAGCATACCTATAAATTGCTTTAAAACCCAGGTTTGTTAACCTGCCTGACATTACTTCTGGATATGAAAGTATATTAGCCTGCAGTCAAGTAGCAGCTGTAACTGCTTAACTGCTTAACACTACAGTGTTAGATAATGTGTTGTTTAAAATGTTAAAGCAGTGGTTGCTGAAAATCATTTGTTCATTCACCTTAGTTCCTTCTTGACCAGAGTCTAGTCTCTCTTCTGCCTCTTGCCCTTTTCTCATTTGTGCCACTAGACTATGTTTCCCCCCAGCTTTATTTTATTTTATATTTGTTAAATATTTTATTTATTTATTTTTAGACATTGGGGGAGGGAGGAGAAAAAGAGGGAGAAAAACATCAATGTGTGGTTGCCTCTCTCACACCCCTTGCTGGGGACCTGGCCTGCAACCCAGGCATGTGCCCTGACTGGGAATCGAACTTGTGACTTTTTGATTCGAAGGCCTGAGCTCAATCCACTGAGCCACACTAGCCAGGGCTCTCCCGGCTCTATTGATAGTATTGACATATAACGTTGTGAGTTTGAGGTATACAACGTATTGATTTGAGATAGTTATGTACAATACATATATTGCAAAAGATGATTGCTACCATAGCATTAACTAACACCTGTATCCCAACACATAATTACCATTTCTTTTTTGTGATGAGAATAGATTATGTTAATTTCAGTATTTTGAAAGTATATTTTGCCAGCTTTTCAATTTACCAGAAGATAGATTCCTATCTTTTTATTTTATTGTGTTCCTCAGTAATTGTCTTGGTGCAGGCTACAGTAAATAATACCCTAGACTGGATGGCTTATCAGCAACAGAAATTTATTTCTCATAGTTCTGGAGGCTGGGAATTTTAAGATCAAGGGGCCAGCAGCTTTGCTCCTTGGGGAGGGCTTGCTTCCTGGTTTATAGACAGCTCTGTTCTTGCAGTATCTGCACATGGCAGAAAGGGCCGTGGAGTTCTGTGGGTTGTGGAGTTCTCTGGGTGTGCACTCTCTTGACCTAATCACCCAAAGGCTCCACCTCCAAACGCCATTATCTTGGAAATTAGTTTTCAACACAGGAATTTGGGTTGGGGGTGAATACAAACATTCAATCCGTAGCAGTGATGTTAACATTTTCTCCTTTTTGAACATTTTACTGCTACTGCAATGCCCCTCCTTAACTTTAAAAGTTTTCCAAACATTTTGGGAAGAATTTAACTTCAAGTGAAAAATTTGAAAACCTTTTTATTTTAGGTTGACTTATCAAAGGATCTCCCTCACTGGAACAAGCTTAAATCAGATGAGAAGTATTTTATTTCTCACATCTTAGCCTTCTTCGCAGCCAGTGATGGAATTGTAAATGAAAATTTGGTAAGATTTTTTTTTTTACTTTTGTTTCCATTTAGTGGTTAAATGATGATAATGGCAGTAAGATAATTAGACTGATCCTAAAAACCTACATGTAGGAAACAAACTAGATGAAGCTTATTTCTTGAATATGTTTTTCTGATGAAGTATCAGAGGAAATGGTTTATGCATTTGTATTGTTTGACCAGCAAAATATCATTAAATCAAGCATATAGTACCAATCAAAATTGCTTAAAATGCATAAACATGAGTTTGATTTTCACCCTTAGATATGAATCCTAATAAAGCAGCACCTGCACCTTAGTAACCCTTCTGAAGCTCTGTAACAGTGCTCTGGGTTCTGGCTCCCCATCTTTAAACCTGTGTTGTGGGTGGCCACGAGGCATACTCTCTTCGTAAAGAGAAGAAGGAGGTTCCAACTTTCATCATGAACTGGAAGGGGCTTCAGTAGCTTTACTGTCTACTGCCAGAGAAACAAAATGACATAAGGTCAATTCTATAAAGTATAATATTTTTTGTTAGGTGTTCTACAATTTATTTGGCAATACAGTCTATTTCTCCACCTAACAGGCCAATGTATGTAACTGCTTAACAATACATCGTGCAGCTAATTTATTGTCGAGGGTTGATGAGTAAGCAGCACTGTTTAAAACCATCCATAAGGTCTTTCTGACCTGTTTGTGGCATGACAGGAGAGTTCTAATTGATAATTCTGATGTCTAGATTCTGATTTCTAGTGTTTAATGAGAGCCTGCAGAACTGGATATATTTGTTTCCTTTATTTTCATAGGTAGAGCGATTCAGTCAGGAGGTGCAGGTTCCAGAAGCTCGCTGTTTTTATGGCTTTCAGATCCTCATCGAGAATGTTCACTCGGAGATGTACAGTCTGCTCATAGACACCTACATCAGAGATCCCAAGAAAAGGTATCACCGCTGGGATTTTATTTACAGAGGTTTATCCTATTGTTTGATTATGTTAGGAGCAGAATTTACTCCAAAACTAAATGTTAGGTAAATATTATTCAAATATAGAAGTTTAGGGGTATAATGTTTTCTATGGCTCAATAATGTGTTTGTTTTAAAAAAAGAACTTGTATAGAACCCATGGAGTGCATTCTGTTTTGCAATTGAATATTTGAATTTAGTCAGTTTTGTATCAGATCAGATCCAAACCATTCATTTGAATTTCACTTTAATTTCTATATTTTATAGACATGCAAAAATACAGAAAGATTACAGTTCTTATAGTAGACCATAGAGTTGCAGTTATTATCTCTGATTAGCAAATGAAAATTTATTCTGATTAAGAAAAACAAATGAATAACTTTGCCATTACTTCTTTTGTTTTGACAGGGAATTTTTATTTAATGCAATTGAAACAATGCCATATGTTAAGAAAAAAGCAGATTGGGCCTTGCGGTGGATAGCAGATAGAAAATCTACTTTCGGTATGTAGCTTTATGTATATCAAATTTGCCTGGTGTGACTATCTGGAAGTCTAAATGTGCACTTTGAGTAGGATCATTTTTTTCTAATAATTGTTTAGAAACCATCATTAAAATAATCTAAAGCTGTATCTATTCTGTTTAATAAATTGGAAGTTGAAAGGTTAAGGTGTCAGTGCATAATAACAGGTGAATAAGTCAGTTACATAGAATCTGACGAGAGTTTTAAAGCAATCCGCAGTTTATATCTGCTTTCACAAATGTTTATTTTAGGAATTTAAAACAAGTCAAAATTTTTGCATTTTTCAGGGAACAAATACGTAGTTTCTGAAAAAACTAAAGATTAGTGCAAGAACAGGCTTATTTTTCACCCTTCTGGATGAGCTGACATCCAATAACTTTTTTAAATGAAGATATTAATATGTATTTTACACATAGTAGTTGCTCAGTAAATCTTTTTAAAATTTAATAAAAATATTCAGATAATTCATTTGAATAACTCTAAGTATCTGTCTCATTCTTATCTGTTTTATAATTGGTGGTCTTTATTTTCCGGATTTATTCAAATGGTGGGGAAGCAGGTCTCAACATTTTTGGTTTCAGGATTCCTTTGTACTCTCAAAAATTATTGAGATCATATGGTATTTGTCTTTCATGGCCTGGCAATAAAAATATTAATTAAAAAATTATTGAGGACCCCAAAGTGCTTTTATTTGTGTGGGTTATTGATATTTTCATATTATAAATTAAAACCAAGAAACTTCAACATATTAATGCATTTTTAAATGAGAGTAACCTGTTAGAGTTTAACATATATTTATGAAAAAAACACCATATTTTCCAAAAAAAATTAAGAGGGCATAGTTTTTAATTTTTGCAAATCTTTTAAATTTCTGATGAAATCGAAGACAGCTGAATTATATCTGCTTCTGAATTCTGCAGAATGTTGTTAGTTAAATTACACAAAGAAATCCACCCTCATTCAGATACATAGTTAGAAAAGGGAGGAGTATTTTATCAGGCTTTTCAGATTTTTATGGAAATGCCATGTAGCATCTGGAAAACGCCACTATGCACTCATGAGAAAGTGGTAGTAAACAAACTAACAAACAAAAAATAAACAAACAGTGCCTTGGTATTATTTTGAAAATAGTTTTGACGCCACAGACCTTGGTCTGTGAGTTTACAGGGACTTCTGAACCACACAGTGAGAACCAGTGATGCAGGGTAAGGTATGGCAAGCTTCCAGTATATCTGGGAAGACACAGCCTGCGTTGCCTTCAGTTTATTCTGAGAATGAGAAAAGCAGTGATTCTCAATGTGCATAACCATCACCTGAGACTTTGTGGAAAAACTCAGAGTCTTGCTGGAGGCCCAAGTGGGACTGAGGAATCTGCATTTTTTGCAGTTGATGCTCTAACGGGGCGTTCAAGAGGCACGTTTTGAGAAACATTGGCTTTAGAGAAAGACAGAAGGGAAATTGCAAGGTGTTCAGTATGCACTGGAAATACTAGGCTGGATAGGTATCGATGGAAAATGAAGAACAGGCTCCCAGAAAGCATGTGTTTTGTGACACTGCCAAAGAAAGCAACCTGGAAATAAAGAAAAAAGAGGCAGGTGGCCGTCACCATGTGACATCAGGGGCTTCATTTAAATTTTTCATATTGCTCACTTTCAAGGCATACTCCATTCAGGGTTCAAAGTCAGAGGCTCAGAGGAAAGAACATGGTCTGAAAGGGTGCCGAGGGAGTGGAATGGGTGGTGGGAAAAGAAAAAGGTGAAGAAGGCTTTGATGGCCCTCCTCTTTGGGAGACGAGCTAAAAGCAGTGACATGAAAATGTTGTCTCGCCTCAGCAGACACCTGCACTTTCCGTTAACCCGCTGGGGAAGTGCCGTTTTGTGAACTGATTGTGCCACCTGCACCTTCGTGCCTTTGGGTTGGTGAGGCTGGCTTCGGGCTCTGCTAGTGACTATTTAGGGGACCTTGATGACTTCTGCACCTAATAGGACTCAGGAGAGCAACCGTTCTTTTCTCACATTCAGACTCTTCTAACTTTTAGCTAAAGAGAACCCAAGAGTATTCCTTAAACAAGCATTAGGTTGTTTGGAAATTGATATAAGTAGATTCAATTCCTGTAGAGCTAAAAGTTCTTAATTGTATATCTGCTTAGTTTTTTAAAAACTGAGATATACCACTTAATTTAAAATGTATCTTTAAAGAACTTTGAAATATTAAATGTATGGATTCAACCTTAAATATGTAGTGAAATTTCATTTCAAACATCAAAAAGTGTATCTTAGTGCATAGCATCATAAGAGATCAATGCATCGTTAAAATATCTCCTACTTCCCCATCTCTGAAACAAGTCACGAGGCCTTCACATTCAGTATAGCTTTTAGAAGAAATGTTTTGGAAATCTCTTTTTAGTTCACATTCATCCATGGAAATATGTAAATATACCCTTTATAATCCTTCAATCCTCTCCAAAAAGGATAGGCTTCTATATGTTTGTTATGATTTTCATTCTTTAGTGTTCACATGAATGCACAGAATAGTTAAAACACCAATTTCTCTCTTGCTCACAGTGTTTGTATTAAATAAGAGTCTCATTTACTTACAGATCAGTGTCCACATGACATCACCTCTATGTCAGTGAAAAATGTATCAATTTCAACTATTACCTTATTAATAGTGAAATGAAAATATAGTAGTAATCTGTATAGTAAACTAATGATAAATCTCCATCTTACTAGTCTAAAGAGCCGTTTTTGTATTCAAGAATTACCAGAGCATAGTGATTATTATTATTATTATATATTTTAAGATTAAATTTTAGAATATTTAACATATACTACAATGAAGAGTCTTGGTGATTCCTTCTACATAGTATGTACTCAAGTACTTATTTAATTTTCATTTCTTCTATTTTTCCAAAGTGACTGTTTAAATTGTGCCTATAAAAATATTGTAAAAGTTTTTCTGGTACTTTGGGCTAATAATAGATACATATTTGGTATAATTGCTCTATCTAATTTGATTTGTTCACGGTAATCAAGGAGAAGAACAAGGACCAGCCAGAGCACTGTTTAGAGACAGCCAGAAGCGTTTAGACCTAGTCATCTTCTTTTTAAATTAAATGTTATAACGACCTTTGTTTGGGAAGTTACACTTACTCAGTTTCTGCATCAAGTTACAGCAATTTCTGTGATGTCCTTTCATCAAGTGCAACGGTTTTCCACCAGTGTGCCACAAGAATTTTTAAAACATGCAATGCTTGATTGTTTAGTCAGGGGCACCGACCTCTATTTTCTTAAATTGTCAAATAAAATAATGACAACAGCCAACACAACAATAGCCATCCAGTGTGAATGAATCAAAATTATACGTATTTTCTGTCAGACTGGTAATATACTTTTTGGTGTGTTGCTGAATTTTAGTAATTAGTTTATATGTGCCATGACATGAAAAAGGTTGAAAATCACTGATCTGGTGCTAATATAGTTTCCATTGATTCACATCAGGACATATTTGTTAAGTGCCTGTTATTGCATTTTTGGTTGCATCACAAGCATTAGGATACAGGCTATGATGTTACTATGAAACAGGTCTGTAGCTGGTTCAGTTCCTCGGCTGCCTTTCATAGTGTCATAGACCAAGACTTTTCTCCCTGGACAGACACATATATAAATATTTCTCCTGAGCAGGCAGTGTTGTGGCATGAGGGGCTTGAGAATGATCTTCCGGGGTAGACCTATAATCACCCCCTAAAGATAGTGTTACAGATATACTGCAACATTTCATTCTAGGAGATGGGCTTCTGCAAAGTCCTTGCCTAACAGTAAGTAACCTTTGAAATTGGGCCTTGTATCTTTAGCAGTAGACTGTATTTTTCCTATGTGATGGGACATTTTATCTGGTAGAATAATCTTCAGCTGGAATGTACCCCCTACTGGGGACCTGGCCTGCAACCCAGGAATGTGCCCTGATGTGCACTGACTGGGAATCGAACCAGCGACCCTTTGGTTGGCAGGCAGGCACTCAATCCACAGAGCCACACCAGCCAGGGCTATCTGCTTTTCTTCAATTGCAGATGCAGGGCAATGATTTTTGAAATGTTTATAGCTACACTAAGATATTTCTAAAATATGAACCTCAGCAACCTCCCTTCTCCCAGCCACAAAGAGGGGGGCATTTGTCGTAAAAGCTATCTTCGACACTCTAAGACACACACACACAGGCACACGCATTTAACTGCACTCACAGGCACACATGGTGCACAGATAAATCGCCTCTTTTTTTTTTTGGTATGAAAGGCTCTCCATCTATATGCCAAGACCCACAGGAGTTCAGTGTCTGACGTAAGATGTGAAGTAGACGTGCCTTTCTGCTGTGGTCGGTAGAGGTGGCAGAGTTCCCCCTGTGCAGACCGTTGGCTATCACACTAACTCGTTGATTTTATTTCTTGGCAGATTAGCTGTGTGGTATTGTTATAAAAAATGTATAAAAGTGTGTGTATATATAGTTTACAAATGTCTGCAGTATATGATATTTCAGAAAATGAAACTTTTTTGTTTCTTAGGGGAAAGGGTGGTGGCCTTTGCTGCTGTAGAAGGAATTTTCTTCTCGGGATCTTTTGCTGCTATATTCTGGTTAAAGAAAAGAGGTCTCATGCCTGGACTCACCTTTTCCAATGAACTCATCAGCAGAGATGAGGTAAGGAATGGAGTGTTCTTCTAGTTATATTTGTATTCATATTTGGTGTTCATTTATTGTTCTTTCCCCTGGAAAATGCTTGTGACCCAGGATCCTCGTAATTACTGATAAAAGAAAATAAGAGGTCATTTCCTCCCTGGCTTTTAAGACACTGTGCTTTCCTCCTGCCTCTTACTGTTCTTAGTCTCTTCTGTTCATCCTTAAATATTGTACCTCAGGTTCCCATCGTGGCCCCTTCCTTTCACCATACGTGACGTCCTGGCTGATCTTACTTATTCCCATGGAACCGGCTACCATGTGGATGCTCACAACAACCACAGCTTTGTCTTTAGCCACGTGTTCTCTCCTGAGCTCCAGGCCTGTGTGTTCGAGTGCGTGTTAGACGGTTTCTCTCGGAAGGAGAAATCAGACTCATCATCTTTGCCCCGAGATTTATTCTTCCTTCTCTTTTCCCTATCCCACTGAGGGCCACTAACTTCCATCTAATCATTTCGTAATTTTTTTAGACATTATAAATGAACGAACTTTTATTTTGGCTCTTCTTTGTTTTCCTTTAAAAAATGCTCGAGGTTGCAGGTTTCTGTTGTTAATTAATTCTTCTTTCATGTTGATGAATTAAGATTTGCTGACACTGAAGTGTTTTCACTATAGGTTATTATAATTGGCATTTTAATGAAATTTGGGGAAAAGAAGTTCCTGACCCTCTTGATGCCCCTTGTATCTTCCAGAGGCTATGTGCTGCCTTCCTAGAACCCGCTCCATCCGCTACCTGGCACGTCAGTGCTGAAATGGCTGTTGCATTTTTTTTGACATTGGTATTTTTCTTCTGTTTTAGGGGCTTCACTGTGACTTTGCTTGCCTCATGTTTCAGTACTTAGTAAATAAGCCTTCAGAAAAAAGGGTCAGGGACATCATTGTTGATGCTGTTAAAATCGAGCAGGTAAGCAGGGAAGCTTGTACGACCCATACCTCTACCTCTGAAGACTGTACCGTTGTATTATTAGACTGCCTCAAATGAAACGGTCACTTCGTAGGTCAAAGTAAATAAATATCAGTGATTTTACATGGTCAGTCTGACAGTACTAGCAGGCAATGTGTTTCAATGATTGTGTCAGTTTGTACTGGGGTTTGTAAGTGTGTACTGTATATGGTTTTACATATGTGAAGTCTGTTCAAGGACTGGTTTTTCTGTCTCATTGACCTGTCAGATTTTATGCCCTAACACTATTTTAATTATTTTAGCTTTATATTTTTAGATTGTTAGCTACTGGAGGGCAGTGATGGTTTCTTGTTTGATTTGTATTGTCAAAAACCTAGCAGGGTGTCTAGCTTGAAGCATGCACCAGATGCTGATGGAATGAATTAGTGACTGGTAAAACTTAATTTATAGCATGTAACGATACATTGCTAGAAAGATCTGACCGCTCCACTTAGGATGTGTTTTTATCATTTGAAAGAACTAGCTTAAAAGTAAAAAAAAAATTTTCTAATTTAATACTGTGTAGTCTAACAGCCGTACTTTTTATACTGGGAGGGGGAAAAGGCATAAAATACATTTTGGTATCTTTAATCGTTTGAGAACGAAACCCAGATGATTAATGGTTTTATTTTTCCTCTGTTCACACTCACCACTGTCAGCACAGTCGTTCAGTTTGTCCCCCAGCCCGCAAATCCAGTCCTATTTCTTCCTCATTTTCTTTCTTAACTGTGTTTTCTCTTTTTTGCAAAACCCATCTGTAACCATGTTCCCCATGATGATCTTCTTTGGTGAATCTTTTTCTAGATATTTCAGGACAAAATATCTCTCTCTCTCTCTCTCTCTTTTTTCTATAGAAAAAGCATATGAATTCAGGTCCTACATGTGCTCCTTTACCAGTGATTTGATTATTAGTTTCCGTCTATTTTGGCTATTTGAGAATGTGAAAAAATGTGAACAGTAAATACCCCAAACATTTTAAACAAATGGACACTGTTTGGCATGTTGAAAGAATTTAACCTAGTGTACTTTCCTTGGACAAGATTAGTGATTTAGAAGATGAATAAAACTAAAACCCACTTTTTATGTGGAAGATACATACTTATTTCTTGTTCTGCCTTTGTTCTGTATTCTGTTTTTGTTTTTATCACAGGAATTTTTAACAGAAGCCTTGCCCGTTGGCCTCATTGGAATGAATTGTGTTTTGATGAAACAGTATATTGAGTTTGTAGCTGACAGATTATTTGTGGAACTTGGATTCTCAAAAGTAAGGTGTTTTATATGTATTACTACTAAGCTAAAATGTTATTTGTCAAGTGAGTCCACTAAAATGTTATAATTGAGCTGAAAGCATCTGTAACATACTGATATACTTTTAAAATGTCCACGACAGAGCCTTGTTTTACGTGAACAGGAAGACTTTGCAAAATCCTTTGAAACTTGAAATGAAATTCATAACAGAAGTAGGAGCCTGATAAATCTTAGAATAAGGTCAACAAATTACTTCGTAAAAATTGCAGGAGTCTATTTAAAAAGAGGATTATTATTAAGTAATTGAACTTAATATGTACATATGTGTTTTACCCTCATATAAATCTCCTTATGTCTTTGTTGGAATTTGGGGTATGATAGTTTTAAATAGGAAACAGTTATTATGAAGACATTAGCTGTCCTAACTGGACTCTGAACTCAATTGTCTTTAAGTTATTTCTGCTGTTCTGTTTATCAGAAATAATGTACCTGAGTTTCATAAAGAGGTGTGCTTTTCACATGACTTAGCAGATGGAGGCTGCAGCCAGGCTACCTGGGTTTGAATCCTGGTTCCACCACTTTATAGCTATGTGACCTTAGGCAAGTTGCATGACCTCTACCTGTTTCCTCATCTGTAGAATGGAGATAATAATAATAATAATAATAATAATAGTAATAATACCTACCACAAAGGGTTCTTGATGAGTTAGTAGCATAAAGCACTTGAAACAGGGTCAGACGTACAGTAAATGCACACTGAGTGGGCACGTCGTTTTCAGCATAAGTGGGACATTCATGTACCTTTCTGATGTACGACGCCATGGTGGTTAAAAATTATAGGTTTTGATTTTTGAGCATGGAAATGTAAGTTTAAATTGTATTTATATTTAACAAGAAGACTTATGAAATGTGTGATTCTGGGGTAATTGTTACCTTGGTAATTGTTACCTTTATATTCTGGGAACCACAGAAATACTGTGAAGAAGGAGTCAGGTGAGGGAAAAGTTTTTGTAAGATAAACTATTTGTATTTTATTATTTTAGTTGGAAGGCCCTCTCTATATTTATCAGTAATTAATGAGAGAAATCAATATTACAATTGTATTACTATGATCTCTTAAATTTATAAACTGTGTATTAAAAATGTGTATTTGTTCCTAAGTTACACCAGTATGTTTGTTATAGGAAAATTAATTTGCTTCCTTAAACCTCAAAGAGAACCCATCATCCTTTGTCCCACCACCATATCCTCCCGTCCACGCATCCGTGTTCTCTGGCTCATTGGAAGACTGTGGCTTCCTCGAAGACTAGTTTTCCCTCCGTGCCTCCTACAGAAGAATAGCTAAACCCAGTGCAAAACAGCGTTTTTCACGGGTCTTCAGCATATCTCAATAAATTCCCAAGAGCAGAAATTATACAGACCTCTTAGATTTTAATGCATTAAAATGAGAAATTCACAATAAAAGATTACCAAAAGTTCCATCTACTTAGAAATTGAAAAGATGACCTTTAAAACAAGATTAAAAATGAAAATATAAGCTAATAGAAAATATAAACTAAGCGACATTAGGATGACTATGTATCAAAACTCGTAGAATTCAACCAAACAGATCCTCGCAGGAAAATGTATAGTCTTGAATGAGTATGCGAAGAAAAGAACACAATTTAACATACGTACACTAAACTCTGAGCTCGAGCAGCTGTAAGAACTATTCTGATAGTAACAGTTTTGGGTAAAAATAAGAGATTATTTAGATTAGCAAGTGGTTGTCATTTATACAGAATTCTAATTAGGAGCCACATTGATGACATTTTCAACTTCTCTTTTAGTTTAGAATTAGTCAATAAATATTTGAGTGCTTTCAATGTGTCAAAAACAAGCCACTTAATTTAGTTTGTCCTCAGTGACCTTGTCCATGCCATGAGTGATTTGGATCAGATCTTTTGGGAGGTCCCTGGTTTTAAAATCCAGTGAACCCATGCCTTGGGTCTAGTGCTCCCTCCGCTTGCCCTGCTGTGTGTGACAGCTCGGTTCACTCCCTCCCTCAGTGTTCCCGACAGGGAAAATTTCACAGGGTTCTGCCACCCAAGCATACCAGCGGACGAGCTCTTTTTGGAATTAGTACACACACACACACACACACACACACAAAGATACAAACCACAGAGTATGCAATTCACCTATTAATAAATGTACAATTCAGTGGTTTTTAGCATATTCACAGAGTTATGCAATTATCACAACAATCTGTTTTAGAACATTATTTTTGTCACCCCCACAAAGGAACCCTGTACCTATTAGCAAGCAGTCACATCTCTTTCCCCTGCCCCCATCTCAGCCCTAGGCACCTCTGACCTAATTTCTGTCTCTTTAGATTTGCCTGCTCTGTAGATCCCATTTCACATAAGTGGAGTCATACAGAATATGGTATTTTGTGTTTGGCTTCTTAACATAGTGTAATGTTTTAAAGGTTCATGTGTTTTATAGCCCGTATCAGTACTTTATTCCTTTTTATTGCCCATTAATATTTCTTTGTATGGCTGTACCAAATTTGATGTTTCCATTTATGGGTTGATAGACATTTGAGTGGTTTCACTTTTTGACTATTTTGAATAATGCTGATATGAACATTCACATAGAAGCTTTTGTGTGGACATGTTTTCATTTCTCTTGGGTATATATTGGGTTGGCCAAAAAGTTCATTTAGTTTTTTTCCATAAAATAAAAGACATTTTTCATTTTCACCAATAATTTTATTGGTTTGGATATTTTAAGTATGTCGGCTTACTCCTACATGGTATAACATTGATTGTTCTCAATTAATGTCTCCATTTGATCGCTGCCAACGTCAGCTGGTCTGCCCAACCACGGAGCACCGTCCAGTGAGAAATCTCCGGCACGAAACTTCGCAAACCACTTTTGACACGTTCCAACAGTCACAGCACCTTCTCCACACCTTACGCAAATCTTTTTTTGCATTGCAGTTGCATTTTTGCCTTTTGTGAAATAATGAAACATAATATACTGAAAACATTGCTTATATTCTTCCACCTTCAATGTTAAAATGGCAGCACATAACTTGACCAATTTTGATGAGTTTTTTTTAAATGCACACTGATATGACAGCTGTCACAATACAGTCTAACAAAATTGTTTTGAATCAAGTTAAAGACAACTAAGCACTATTGGAGCCATCTTATGGAAGAGAACCAAATGAACTTTTTGCTGGGTCGTATACTAACTCCATTTTTAATCTTTAGAGCCACTGTCAGTCCATTTTCTAAAGTGACTGCACCATTCTACACTAACGCCAGCAGTACATGAGTTTGTTTCTCGACATCCTCACCTGTACCTGTTGTCCGTTTCCCCCATTGTCGCCACCCGGATGTGTAGGAAATGGTATCTCGTTGTGGTCTTGACTTGCGTTTACCTAGTGGACAATGGTTTTGAGCGTCTTTTCCCATGCTTGTTGGCTTTTTGTGCATTTTCTGTAGAGAAATGTCTATTTGTCTACTCACATTCTTTGCCCATTTAATTGAGTTATTTGAATATATTTTTATCTGTGGTGTTCATAATTTCTGCTAGAATACTCCCAATGAAAAAAAATCTTTTATTGACCCTCATGAATCATTAAAATGTCTCACAGTTTCCATCAAGCCGTAGCCCCAAATCTGCCTCTTGAATTGAGAAGCCGCGAAAAAGCTTCTTGTCAACATAAGTCCCACTTTTGGGGGGTCACTATGGATAGAATTTATTCTGCCTTACCTCATGATGGTCCCTTAGCTGATGTGACTATCTGTTCTTTTATGAACTATGAAATACTTAGGTCTCCACTACATTGTTGGTAATTTAATAATCTGTAGTATCCTGTATAGGTGACTACCTATTGGTAATACCTGTGAGAAATGCCTGTAACATCTGTGGTGTATTAAATTTCTCAAACTGTGAAAACATTTTAGTTGGTTGCTTTTACATTTTTCATTTCCTAAAATAATCTTTTTTTCCCCTTTCTACTTCTTAGAGTACCAGAGATGGTAGTACAGTTTCTTAAGGATGCTAGTAGGTGATCTCAGTCATCTGAAAATGCAGCAGCCCTCAGCACCTCCAGGACCCCAGGGGACGGTGGGACCCTGAGCTGCCTGGGCAGGTGTCGGGCGGCCCGAGCTCTGTGTTAGTCGTCTGTTGCTCGGCTTGTGGGATGTAATTTGGTTGCCTCAGGATGTCTGCTAACATTTCCTTTATTTTCTCTTTCAGGTTTTTCATGCAGAAAATCCCTTTGACTTTATGGAAAATATTTCTTTGGAAGGGAAAACAAATTTCTTTGAGAAACGAGTTTCAGAGTATCAGCGTTTTGCAGTGATGACAGAAACCACGGACAATGTCTTCACCTTGGATGCGGATTTTTGAAACCCTCCCCGTAGCTAAACCTGTCGTTGGTAAATGGCAGTCTGTTCTTCTCTGCTTAAAAACAAATCTAGACCTTACAGTATCTCCTTTAGGGAGTAGGAGTTTGCTCAACAGGAAATCCAAAACCAGGCGTCCATCCATTTGGATTTATGTGAATGCACTGTAACTTTCCAGTTTAACAAGCAGAGTGTGACCTAAATGTTTTTGTTTTGTTACTGAAATGGAAGATGACATTATGTAGCAATTGCGAGTTCGAGGGTCGGTGTCAGATAGGAGTTTGAGATTCTGTCCTTCCCACTTCGTGTGATGCTTGGCAAGCCAGTTAATCCCTCTCTACCTCAGCGCACTTGTCTTTAAAATGAGTGTAATAGGAAGTCCTAACTTCATAGAAGGGACGTGAGGAGCAAAGCCCAGAATAAGTACTTAGTGCCACCAGTACCACCGCCGCTGCTGCTATTACTCCTTCTCCTTACTTTGTGTTAATCACAGTGCTACCGTGATAAAACCCTTCCATCTCAAAGCAGTTGTGAACTAGATTCTGAACCTGGAGTTGGATCTTTGTATTTTTAGTGTTTGAGGAAGGATATAAAAAATTTCCTAAAAATTATACTTCTCATTAATTTGAGAGTAACAACTTTGAATTCCTCAGTATGTAGTAAAGGAAGTTTAGTGCTTAGTTGCTTTGGGCAGGATGCTTATGGAGCGAAATCCAGAAGGTTATTGTGGTAGTTTGCCTTGTGGACAAAATGATTCTGCTCCTTTAGAAATTAAAAAAAGGTAATTATTATCAGACATAACCCTGGAAGGTTTAAAACCGGGTAAATATGCTAGAATAGCATTTCCCAAAAAATATTCTAAGAGCTATTAGCCTCTCTAGATGTTGTGCGGAGAAAAGAGATTCCATGGTCTGGAGAATTTGGAAAATGCTGTGTTGTCCCTTCCTGCTTGCAGTGTTCAGCCAGTACATCAGAGACAGACATTCTACGGTACGCAAACTTATTTACCCCTGCTTATCCCAAACTTAGCACAGATCTGCTTTCCATGTGTTAACATCTAACCTGGCTACCGGTCTTCAGGACATAGTTTGGAAAAAGCTGGTCTAGAACCATTTATACATCGAAGAAGGGCTTGTGGACTAAGCCACGGAGAACCTGGTGAGGTTGTGAACCCATTTCAAGTCTGTGTCCAGCTGAGTGAGGCACGTGATTGGGCTCAGGTGTGTTTCCTTAATCTTTTATCACTGCTTTGCGCTGCTGTGAGATGTAGTTCTTCCAATGGGGCTGGGCACGCCACACGGAGGCAGGTGGTGGGGGAGACTGAGGTCTGCGGAGACTGAGAAGTCTGCCCTCCTGAATGTAAGGAGGTGTCAAGAGATAGTCTGAGCCCCAGAAAGCAGTGGAGTCCCCCACTCACAGCATGCTGCTTGATGAAATTCTGGAAGTTAAAATTTAGAGATTTTCTCTTTGTATACATTTTTGCTCCATTTATGCCATAACTGTCTAACTGATTAAAACAGGGAGTTCTCCAGTGGATGCAAAGGGAAATGACTGTAACCTTATTTGTTAGAATATCGGAAACGAGATAGGTGCCCTACGGTAATATCATTTATCTGTGTAGTGCTTCTTAGTTTGCCGTGTGTTTTTACGTCATCACCTCATTTGATCTCACAGCAGCTCTCTGAGCTCGACAGAACAGTTAGTGTTGAAGTTTCACCGCTGGGAGGAGCAAGGCTCAGAGAAGTTAAGTGACTTGGCCAAGACCTGTTTATAGTTGCCATCCCTACAAATGTTCCTACAATGTAATTTTTTACAGAATATCATGTTTCTTGTATTACGTGTTTTGTCAACCATCTCAATTTGATTTTGTTTCCCGTTAAAGTATCATATATTTTAATGATCATATACATTAATTAAAGTCTCAGAGGATCATAAACATTTTAACTATAATCAGGTAATATATTCAAAGAAATGTATCTACTGCCACACAAAAATGTAACAGTTAAAATTGATAATATCTGTAATGACATCGGAATAGAAGAAAAACTGTCTACATTTACAGCCCACATCTCCCATGTTTGGAATCCAAATTTTTCTCCTAGGTAAAAGAAAGACCTGTGCCTTAATATGAAGTTTATTTACAGTAGCAATAAACCCAACTGGATTGAGATGAAACCATTTTAATATCAAAATACTGGATTTTATACACTGGTGTATTATATTCAATATTCTATACCCTTTTCCAGGCCCCCAGGTTGCATATTTATTTATTATGTTTAATATTTTGGCTCTTAGTTTTCAAGGAACCAAGAAGTTGTGGAATTTCTTTTTAATGTTATTTTGCAGGTAAAGAACAACATTCAGGGTGTGTTTATAGTTTTTTACAGCACCTGTATTTAGATCATTGCTCTAGTAGTCAAAGTTAAGTTTACTTGGGACTGGAAACACTGGCAGTTCTGTGACACACTGCGTTTACGAAAACTGTTTCAGTGCGGCATGTGGATTCGTGTCTTGGGAGGGTTTGGGAAGACACCTGGATTCCGGGTGTTCCAGTGGGCCGTTTTGCTGTCTGATCATATACAATAATAAATAATCATCGTCACAACATAAGCTTACTCCAGTTGTGTCTTTACATACGAAATTTTTACAGTTCTCTCATTTGGGGACATCTGAAGTTTTCTGCTTCTTTTGCCATTTTGTTTCTCATTTGTCCATTAAAAAAGTGACTATTGGCAGGAGCTGATACTCAAACAGTGGAGGGAAGCAGAGGAAGAAGAGCCACTTGGCCCTAATTGCTACCATGACAACGCTGAGTCCTTCTTTAATAATCTCTCTCGTGATGACAGTAGAGAACGGAGACCAGCCCGGGCTGGTGTCTCCAGCTGGCATTGTTTCAGCATTTGGAATCCCACTTTGTCCAAACTGTGTCCGCGGCGGGTGCGGAGGCCAGGAGGTCTTGGTTTCCATGTGGCAGGGATCTTTGCCCCCGGGCGTGTCCTCCTCATGGTGGGCCGCCGGGAGTGTGGGGGCAGGGGGTTTGCAGACTGCAAAGGTAGGAAAGATAACACTGTGGCTGCATAGCTTACAAACAAGTCTTTGAAAATAGGTGAATTTCTAGCTCTCTGTGGTCCTGAGAACTGGTTTCAGTCTTTGCCAACAATGAAGACGGGAACGCGTTGGATATTTGTCACCAGCACTGGGTTTTTGTGTGTTTTTTTCCTGCTTAATTTCAAAGATACAATGCAGTTATAATGGGCCAAGGTGGGGGCTGCTTACCTTTAAAAATGAGCATTAAATATATTTGAAATAGCAAAAGGTTAAGCAATTTTTAATATATAGTTAAACTGAAGCAATACTTCCATAGGACTAATAACTGAAGGGATCTTTCTTATCACTAAATCGTATTTGGCAGTTACTACAAGTTGCCTGCAGGTAGGGCTGTGATACCGTGTTCTGGGCCACAGAAGGTTGGGTGTGTGCCTGCAAGTACTCGGGGGTGTGCATGCGTGTGTGCATACGCGTGTGTGCGTGTGTATCTTTTGCTCTTTCTTTTTGGAAATCTGTATTAACCCTTTTGAGATAGCTTATGTTGTCAGTTAATTAGAGTGCTAGATGGTAGAGAACTTTGTCAGTAAACTATGCACACACAGTAAATACCGTTTCTTAGGCAGAGGTAACTCTGTATGTTATAAAATTCCATTATATTCCATTGCCAATGAAACATTAAGAGCTTTTTAGAGCATGTGAAAAGCAACTAATTTTTTAAAGGATAAACGTTTCCAAGGCAGTAAACACAGTGTGTCCTTGCAGCAGGGGGTGTGCTGAGGAGCAGAGCTATGCCTGGGTCTTTTATTCCTGGCTTTCTAGGCTTAGGACCTTTTAATTTAATTTTCTTTTGTAATGTTTGGAACACAAATGAAGATCTGATACATACCTTTATTATATGAAAGGATAAATTACTCATGCTCATTGTAAGAACTTCATTTTATAGGAAATGATGTATCACAGGATTTGTCCGAATAATAGATTTTTTCAGGATATGAATGTAAGTAATCATAGATAAGAATGTACTTAGCTGTATTTTCAAATAAATAACACCCTCCCTTTTCTAAGACAATAAAACTAGGCCTCAATTCCCTTGTTCTTCCTGATAATGCCTTGAATGTTGTTGTGATAAGGTGACTCATTCCATTATATTTTAAGAGGATTGAGAGGGTCAGAAGTTACTTTGGGAACCTAGGAGATATCACAGCCCTGGTCCCGGGGCCTGTGATCCCCAGATGACCCAGTGTAGAGTTCATCGCTAATACAAATTACTAGTACATCTTTTTTATCTTTTAAGCTCTAGTGGGAAAAAAGTCGGACCACTTTTGTGTTTTTGCAAAGGTCATAGAGTAAAGCAATTCAAAGATTTAAATATTTTTATCTCTTGATTTTCCTTAATCTATTCACTAGTGATAAAGATGTGGAAAACTGTACTGTATGTAGGACAATTGGAATTTTCAACGATGGTTGACATTTTTAATTTTATATGTTTTGTAAAGCTTTGCAAGGAAATGTTTTGTGATTTGATTTTATTATTAAGTTTTAATACTTGGCAGCCATCATTTAGAGAATAGTGTCTCGTGCGCTTTGCTTGCATGTTAACAGCAAAGCCTTTGGGAGGACCCACAAGCCATGACGTTGAACACGTTTCTGAGGCATTCTGAACGTCAAAGCAAGTGCCGTGACAGTCCCTCTAGAGTTTAGACTGTTTGCGATGTCCCGGGCCGATTCAACAGAAAAACCGCACATACCAGCTCTAAAGATGTGCTCTAAAAATACGAGTTCACGCTTTTTCCAAGCCCTCCGGGTCCCAGCAATCACTGGCAGCGTGGCCTACCTGTTGTGCACCCATACGGTTCAAAGTGAGGGTTTTGTTTTGAGGCAGAATAAAATGTCAATGAAGAAAAGTGATTATGGAGAAAGTGCTGTAGATTTAAAAAATAAATAAATTAATTATCAGAATCTTGCATTTTACATTCGTATGTTGAAATAAACTATATCATAACTACATCATTTGCGTATGTCCTTTTAAGGTAAGAGCATTTCTTTTTTTTTTAAAGATTTTATGTATTTATTTTCAGAGAGGGTAGGGAGGGAGAAAGAGAGAGAGAGAGAGAAACATCAATGTGCGGTTGCTGGGGGTCATGGCCTGCAACCCAGGCATGTGCCCTGACGGGGAATCGAACCTGCGACACTTTGGTTTGCAGCCCGCGCTCAATCCACTGAGCTACGCCAGCCAGGGCGGTAAGAGCATTTCTTTATGAATGCGGGGGCTCCCATCACCGGCACAGAATTCCCAAATTGCATGTGTGCAGGTGAAGCTGAAGGTGAAATGTCGCTAACTCATTCTCAGCGGCACAGGAAGCCCCTGGTGGGCTGTGTGGGAGCCAGGCCAGCCCTCTAAGCAGGTCTTCCACGTTTGCATGACGCTGCGTGAATCGGCCGCCAGCCGAGGAACTCGTACCCGGCAGAGTCTGCATAAGTGGGATAGAAGTCAGTCTGTGCATCTTTGTTTTGAAAGGTCGTCTCCTTTTCAGACAAGTCTGATGGAGAATCTGACATTCCCCAGGCTTTAGGAAGAAAGGGTTTAAGCCTTTAAATTTTAGGCTTAATTTTGTTCAAGAAAATACATGTGGAAGTGGAAGACTAAAGAATGATTTTTAAAATACAGATAAGAAAAAATAACAATCTTCCTCTAAGTTCACAAGATTCTTAGGCATTTGATTCAGCTTTACAACCACGTGTTGATTTTTCCAAATGTCTCGTTGCAAAGTTACTTGGTATCTACTGTGCACAGAGAGCTTTATGAGATGTGTATCTAAGTATTTTTTGCTAAAATACCCATTGGTCAATCAAGACAACCCTGTATATATGAGATAAAATTTGTTTTTTTCCCCAGAGAAATAAGCTGTTTTGTTTTTGTTTAGTATGTCGAAGTAAACTGTCAACGCTACATCATTTGTGTATGTCCTTTATAAGTAAGAGCATTTCTTTATAAATGCAGGGGCTACCCTAATGAGGAAACATACATTTTCCCAACCCATTATGGACCCAACAATCCCGTTTTTCCAGATTCGCATCCTAGCACAAAGACTGCTAGAGAAAAGGTCATACAAGACGGATTGGACCTACGATAAGTGCACGATTACCCACTGTCTCAGTCTGTTCAGGCTGCTATCAAAGAAAAAAAATGCTAGGTGGCTTAAACAAGACATTTGTTGCTCACAGTTCTGCAGGCTGGGAAGTTCAATATCAAGGTGCTGACAAGACTCTTGGTCTGACGAGCCTCACCTCCTGGTTCGCAGACAGGCATCTGCTTGCTGTGTCCTCACACGGCAGAAGGGGAAGAGAGCTCCCTGAGGTCTTGTCTTTTTAATAAGGGCACTAACCCCATTCCTGAGAGCTCAAGGCCCTACCTCTAAACCCATCATGTGGGGGATTAGGTTTCAACGGGCATTCTGGTGGGACACACCTACCTCAGTACTTTCTTGCAGTCCTCTGCCACGTCCTGGTTGACTCCATCTCCCTTCTCCACACCTGCTGTTTCACAGTCTTCGCTTCTACCCTCCCTCCTGGGAGAGCTGCCCTTGTCATCTGCTTTTTCTCTGTGCACACATGAGACATTCTCCAAGTCCTCTCAAGAAACAGCCTCAAACCAACAGGTGGCAGTAACTAGAGGCAGGTGCTGCTTTAGAGTCAGGAATTGAAACAAATCCAAGCCAGCGTATCTTTATCTGCCATCACTTTACTACCCTGAGCTCGGTGCGGGACTTCTTGGGACGTTCCAACCTGGGCTGCTCTGAACATTTTAGAGACGTGGTTTCAGGTTTCCAAAGTCCTAGGCAACCACGGTCAGGGGGCGCCATTAGATAGGATGTAGACGTCAAGTCTAGGAACTAAGAAGTTGGTGATGGAATTCAAGATGCAAATTCCTATGCATGGTTTTTTGATCTGTAGAGACATTACCATCACAGAGTGCCTAAGGAGAATACCTGTGTTTCCCTCCCTTTTTCTGGGAATAACAGCCTCTTAATTCTGGGAGCTGCTGCTCTCACTCTCAGCGTGTGGTTCTTGAAGGGCTGCCAATACTAGTCCGAATGCCACGTGTCTGGGCTTAGGGTTAGCGTGGGACCAGGCTGGGCCAGGACCTTACCTATGAGTTTCCTAGTTGAAATGAAAGGAAGAGGATCACTTATTCCCATGACAAACTAGAGAAAGAGTCCTGGTTCTAACTCCCCTAAGACCCAACTGTATTCCATTTACCAACCTTTTGTTATCAAGGTAATAAATGCCTACTTTGTGTCTAGATAGTTTATTAGCCTTCTTGACTTACCACCCAAAGGACCCTAGTTAAAAGAGAAATTGGGGCCTGGCTGGTGTGGCTCAGGGGATTGAGTGCCGGACTGTGAAACAAAGGTTCACTTGTTCGATTCCCAGTCAGGGCACATTCCTGCGTTGCAGGCCTGGTCCCCAGTAGGGGGTGCGTGAGAGGCAACCACACATTGATGTTTTTCTCTTTCTCCCTCACTTCCCTTTCTCTCTAAAAACAAACAAACAAACAAACAAATAAATAAAATAAGAAGATCCGTATGTTGGTTCCTGGAAACAAACAAAAAAATAAATGGAAAGAACTAGGGTGTTCATGTGTGGATCAGTGAGGGAGCTGAGAGCCCGAAGTCTGCACCCTGCGTGGATCCCGCCGAGAGCCAGGCGTGTAAGCCTTCAGGGAGGGGGACGTGCTGCCTGGAGGCCCAGGTGAAGAGTAGAAGGGCGAGACAGAGCCGAGGTGTGAATCGTGGAAGAGCAGGGTTATTACCCAAAAGACTGGTGTCCACGGTCTGGGTGGTCATCCTGCACTGACGACACCGCTGTCCCTGTTTTATGTAACCTTTACGGGTGACTAATGCGTCCGGGCTTTCTGCACCCTGTGCCAGCTCACAACCGCGCCTGCCCATTGCCCCAGGTGAGCATGTTCACATACCAGAGGAAACGAGAACAGTTTGTGGAATGGCCAAGGAGGGTGTGCTTGTGCATTCCCTCGTCGTTAACGAGGGTGTCCAAGTTCTGAGAGTACAAGTGTGTGCTTCGCGGTATCTTGAAAATTTAATTCCCAGTGAAATAATAAACATTGGCACCTACTTCAAAGTCTGTAAGGCGATTTTGCAATCACGCCATTGCAATCATCTCACTGGTTCGCTAATATTACGAGAACTTGCTATGTCACAGTAACATTACTGATAAGGAACCTGAATTTCAGATGAACTACTTGCCCAAGGCTACATATCTAGTAAAAGTCAGAGGCAGGACTCCAACCTGAGTGTCATGCCTTCAGGTGCCACCTGTGCTCACTGGGCGCACCCACATTTTTATCGCTACTGCTGGTGCTACTCAAGACTTGTGGTGGGATACGATCCCCTTGACCCACACCCTCTTTCTAACATACTGCATTAGTAGGTACCCGTTTAGGGCTTCATCGGTCCATCTTGGTTGGGGTCCTGCCCCAGAGCTTGCTGGGAATTGCGTCTGAGCATCTCTTCATGGAGGGTGAGGAGAGGGCTCGCCAGTGGGGGCCTGGCTGGAATAGCAACACCGCGTGAAGACAAGGGCAATCAGTACTTGTTTGCTCATCATATATGTCAAATAAGTCTTCAAAAGTATTTCTTTAAGTAAAGAGTAATTCATTTTAAAGTGCCAGGCACAGTAATAGGACAGGTGGAACGCAGAATGGCACGCCCTGACCGTGGTTGCCTAGGACAGACTCTGGAAACCGGAACCACGTCCCTAAAACGTTCTTCAGAGCCGCCCAGGTTGGAACACCCCAAGAAGTCCCCTCCCGAGCTCAGGGTAGTAAAGTGATGCAAACAGAAATATAAACTCCTGACCCTGAAGCAGCACCTGCCTCTAGTCACTGCCGTCTAGTTGGTTTGGGGCTCTCCGCTTGGAGCCCCAGATCTCAGAGCACTTGCACTGTCCTTCACGCCAGTCTCGAAGGGCGTCTACCCCGCAGAAGGCGATGTCCAGATACAGTCGCCTTTACAGCTCTTGAGAAAGCAGACGAGGAGAAATCTCTCCCAAGCATACCACCCGTGTGTGACAGCAGTCATCACCCACCGCTCGTCTCCGGGGACTCGGCCTGGTGAATGGGCCCTGAGAGTCTGGTGCAGAAAGTTCCTTCCCCTTTTGGACCCCCCTGCCCCTGCTCCTGCTTTGTGTGCCGGTTAGCCCCTACCTGCTCCTCGGGAAGGCCCATTTCTCTGTGTGTTCACAGCTCTCTGTGCTCTATATGTGGCACGCGGTGTATTAAAATTATAACCGAGCCACTTCCAGGTGAGGACAGTGCTCTCCATGTTTGCATTGTCCGTGAGACGCGAGTTAGCTGTTCAGTAAGTATTTCCTGGATGAATGAATGACTGAGAGTCGTAATCAGTCGTATCATGAAGCCTCCTGTCACGTGATCAGAATAGGCTGGTAGCCAAAAACTGTCATTCTCAGAGCACAGGCAATCCCCATGCTTTACACGTGTCATCTCACTTAATGCTCCTCACAGCCCTGGCGGGAAGGTATTTTTCCCCTTCCTTCCGCCCTCGTTTGCTGAGTGCATCCTAAGTGCCAGGCACTGTGCTGGGCGCCAGAGATCAAACCATGAAAAGGGATGATGTCTGCTTCGTGGAGCATAGAGGTGTAGACATGTCATAAACAAGCAAAGTAAAGAAATGTTACTTCCTCCATTTTTTGAGGTGACTTTCCGAAAAATCTACTCCTTGTCTACTCCTTGCTTAAAGTGGTACAGATGGCCCGGCCTGGGTAGCTCAGCTGTTTGGAGTGTCGTTCCAGTACACCCAGGTTTCAATTCCTGGTCAGGGCACATACAAAAATCAACCGATGGATGCATAAATAAGTGGAACAAGAAATCTGTCTGTCTGTCTGTCTCTCCCCACCCACCCCACCCTAAAATCAATTTTTTAAAAAAGTGGTACTGACAGAGCCAGATTGGCCCAGCTCTGTTTGGT